ATATTTTTTTTTTTTAAGAAAATAGGAACCTAAGCGCAAGGACCTGAGTTCTATCCCTTGTAACAAAAAACAAAACAGAAACCTAAGGCATCAGAAACTATCAAGTAAGGTAAGGAGACAGGCGTGGTAGAGCATGAATGTAATTCCAGCACTCAGAAGGCGAAGGCAGGAGGACCACCATGAGTTCGAGGCTACTCAAGGCCAGCCTGAACTGCATAGCAAGACCCTGTCTCAAAAAAAAAAAAAGGTAAGGAAAGAGTTTTAGTTGAAAGGTAAGGATGGGAGCCAATATTGCAATCATTGAATAAATAGGATATAAGAAAGAAGAAGTGGATAATGGAACCATGTCATTCAAAGAGGTCAGTGGTAGAGCATTTGTCTAGTGTGTCCCAGGCCCCAGCTTTCAACCCTGGCACTGGAGGGAAAAAGAAAAAGAGGTTAGCTTTCAATTTTCCTAAGCAAGAATAGTAGGTGAGAGGTAGGGAGCCTAGTTACATAAAAAATCCTCTTGAAGTCATCTTGGGTAGGAGAAGGAATCCAAAGGAAAGGGCCAGGGATTTAGCTCAGTGGTGTCGCCGCCTGCCTCAAAAGTGCAAGGTCCTGAGTTGGATCCCCAGGACCAAAAAGAGAGAGAGAGAGATTCCTCCCAAAGTGTATGAACGAAGCTTTCACACCAGAGGACACACTTCCGGCATTGCCTCTTCAAATGGAGGGTTAGGCATTGGTGGGAAGCAGCCTCAAAGACTGTGCTCCAATGACCTGCACCCCTTAGCATTCATGTCCTCATGTAATTCCTTTCTTTGAGTGGGGCTGGATTTCATGATTGGCTTCTGATGAATATAGTATGACAGAAAGGATGCTACTTCCAAGATTAGATTATAAAATGTCTATGGCTCTCATCTCGAACATTCTCTTGGATCATTTGTGCTGGGGAAACCAGCTGTCATGTTGTAAGGCAGCAGCTTTGAGAAGCCCATGTCACAAGACCTGAAATCTTTTCACAGCCATGTGAGTAAGCTTGGAGGTAGATGCCCTCTGAGTAGAGTGTCCCGTGAGATGACAGCCGTGGCCAGTGCCTTGACTGAATCTCGTAAGAGAGCTTGAGCCAGTGGCTATGCAGAGTCCTTACAAAGAGAAGCTGCAAGATAATGAACGTTTACTATTTTTAGCTACTGAATTTTGGACAATAGGTAACAATTGCACTAATTTATCATTAAAAATGGGTAAGCCAACGCTTTCTGAAAGCTTAGTTCTTTGACCCTAAGTTGTAACATAAGCTACCACCAATTGTAGCTGGAATATTTGATTACTGCACATTATCCTCCAATTTCTGGAGCAACTTAGTAGAATAAACTACAACCACATCTATATAGCATGGAAAGAAGGAGGAGTTGCCAGTAAAACAGTTCATTTTAATCCATGTGGGGACTGGAATCATCTGAATCAGCTGTTTTCAGTGGATTCGACAAGTCCTGTGACTTTCTTTCCTGATGGACAGTACATTGTCTGAAGATGCATACATTTGCTTTAAAATATAATTTCTAATATTTTATCTTGTGAACATGTCCAGCTGTCCCAAACCTGCCACTCATCTGACCTCTACTTTCCAAACCAATCCCAAACTCTTTCCCAGCAAGGGTCAACCTTCCATGCCTTGCTCTCCAGGTTATGAAGCAAAGAAAACAGGACCCTCTGTGGACCCCCTCCCCACTGGACCAAGTGAGCTGTCCTGGGCTGCACCTGGCTGTCTCCTAAATAAACACTCACAGGGTAAGAAGAATAAACAGATATACCAAGTAAAAGCCACTTGGTTTTGATTTTCACATTCAGTTATTCAGAACATATTTACTGCCTGTGAATGTATAAGCCAAATTGTTTCATAACACCTAAGGATAGAAAACGCAAACCCTGCCTTTGAGGAGCTTACAATTGGTTATTAAGCCTACTACCTTTTGAGGACTTTCTATGTAAATCCAAAAAAGAAATTGTTTTTTAAAAAGGGAAAGTCATGTAAACAATGTGAATTTCTACATTCACTTTTCTGGGTAGAGGTGTTTGCAAGACATTGTTGAGAATACACGGATGTGGCAAACATTTTTAAAATGTATTATTTTTCCAAAGTTGAACCAGGTGCACAATCATATCCCTTGGAAAGCTAGTTTCTTTAGTACAGCCAGGGTGCCGTTGTGTAAGGTCTGTTCCCATCCCTCCCTCGGGTCTGGGATGTGGTTGGTGACTGCCACAGCCCACAGATGAGCTCTGGTTTTTTGTTTGTTTTGTTTTGTTTTTTTCAAAGAAAAATGAGTACTTAAAAAAAAAAGAAAAATGAGTACTGAATCAGACTGCCATTGAAACAATTTGTAGAGTCAAATTTGTAAAACAGTTCTCTCTTATGGTTGGTATGATTGGACAATAAACTGTTTTCAATCCAACTGAGACGAAAGAATCCAGATTAGTGTTTTCCTAAAAAAAGAAAGTCTTCAAAACTGGGCAGATTCTCAGGATTTCTTGAGTCCTCTGGATCCTTCTAACTTCTAACTGGATCCTTCCAGTAATGAGGAAAAATTCTGGGCAGTATATCATTTTCCTCCACTAAAGAGGGAGGACTTAAGCTCATTCTTTCTATTACTAAGTCCTAGAAATCAGGGTGAGGGGACTGCTTGGTTAATTGACTATGATTTGTGAACTGTACCTTTTTCATAGGCCTGAGAAGGCAAAATAGTGGTAAAATCTTCACTTGGAAGAACAGGTTCAGGGATGTTGATAGAACGGAAAGGACTTCCCTGTGCTTGTGCAGGTCCACCCTGTGTGCCATGTTCTTCTTTCAGAGTTTTCCTAGGAAAGAGAAACAACAAAGCTAGTTCGCTCCTTAGTACCTGATAGATTAGGAGAGGATTTAGTTCACAGCATCTCAAGAAAATGTCTGATATTAGATTGAGCCATAAATATTGCCATTTTCATAAGTTAAAAATGGTCCATTGAGGGGCTGGAGGTATAGCTTGGTGGTAGTTTGCCTGGCACATGCAAGACTCTGGATTTTCCCCCCAGCACAAGGAGGAAAGAGGCCCATTATTAGTAATTCATGTAGTTCAGCTTAATTTATCATCTGAGCTGGAGAAAAACCTTCAGATATCTACAAATCACTTTCAACTGTAATTTCTTCATTCTTATTTTTCTGCCATCGACTTCCCTATCATCAGGAACTTTAAAGCTTACAGGTAACTACTGCTTGGGATGATTTACATTTGCTAACCTCTTCTCCAGGGTCACACAAATATTCTCATATTTCTATTTTAAATGTGACAAAATTAAGAACATATGACAATAAGATTACATGTATTGAGTGGTGAGACCTAGTTGAGTCTCTTTAACTTAAACTTATTTTCAATCATAGAAGTAAAATAATAGCAGCCTTAGAGAAAATTTAGAAGACAAAATTTTTTTTTTTGGTACTGGGGATCGAACTCAGGACCTTGTGCTTGCGAGGCAGGTGCAGTGCCACTGGGCTAATCCCCAGCCCTAGAAGACAAATTAAAAAGAGAGAAATCACTGGTGGCCTCAAATCTTAACACAACAAATGCTTTACATAACAATCATTATTTTTACATATATCTTTCTAGGTGTTATTTTTATGTTTTGGTAGTTGGGATCAAAGCACTCATGCCATTTGTGTTATTTTCATTTCACATCATGTTGTATTACATACATTTTCTTTTAAAAGATTTACCATCCATCTTTGGAATTCACCAACTTCTCTGGCTCTCTACCCTCTATCACATGCTGACTCCTGGAGGTCAGGAGCTAGCTGGGCATATGCTGATATACAGGGGACATTGTTCCTGGTGCCTCTGTAGAAGCCATTACTTATGGGTTTGCCTTTGGGAAATATTTTGAAGATACTCACTTGGCTTTAACTTTTCGAGACTCTCTTCGTTTCTCCTGTTGAAGTTGTTCAATTTTCTGTTGCATTTCTTCCTGTTTGGAAGTTATGGCCTGGATCATTGACATGGCATTGCTCAGCTCTTCCTAAAAAATAAGAATTGCTATATTCTAAATTGGTACATGCAGTAATAGTATAGAATATACTGTTTGGTATTCCATAAGCTTTTAGTACTATTGAATGAATGAATGAAGATTGAAAAATATACTTTTATTGTGTCCTCCTATTTTAACACATCTGTTAAAAAAAAAAATGAAATAACTATTTTCCCCTGATAACTAATGAATGGTGCAGATGGTAAATTCTTAAATTTGGCTACTAGGGAAAGAACACATTTTCTATTCCTATTAACTAAGGACCAAGATTCTTTTTTAAGCAGGAAATAAATGAGGCACCTACCTTGAAATAATTTAATGAATTCTTCATCTCAGTAACTTTTTCTTCCATGGAACATTTGCAGCTCTTGACCTTTTCTTCCAAAGCATATTCTCCGTGTTGGATTCGTGTCAGTTCCTGCATTGCCTCTGTGAAACCAGTTTTCAACTCGGAAGCCAGGGCCTGCAACTAAATAGCGCATGGAAAGTGAAGTTAGTTTGCTATAAGTTATTATCAATGGCACTACTGGCCCCTGGGCTTTTTGTTTGCTTTGAGAAACCAGGCTCTTGAAAATCTACAGACTTTGAGTGAGTTTGGACAATTTAAGGCAACCTTGGTGCCATTCATCTAGGGAAGAGTGTCTTCTTTATACAGCACAGGTTGAAGTTAGATAAACGGCAAGAAAGCAAGCAGTCAATAAAGTTTATAAGTGCTCCTGCAAGCTACCATTTATTTTAAAACCTTTAATAAAGATGCAATTTACCTGAAAAGCAACATGTATGTGAAAAGAGTCTTAACCTGGTAACTCTGAACTCTGTGAAAGAAGAGTGATGGGTCATAATCTTCCTGATGAGAGAACAAATAAGTTCACTTCTTTTTTTCCTTAAGAAGCTAAAGAACCAGAAGAGTAATAACTAGGGATTGATGAAAATTTCTTTGAAAGGGAAGAAAAGGTTTTGTTTCTGTTTTGTTTTTTATTCTCAGATATTATCCTGGAAAAGTTGGTAATGACTTTCATTTTATTTTTTTTTTGGTATCGGGGATCGAACTCGGGTCCTTGGATTTACACTGGAGCAGCAGGCAGTGAAACCACTGAGCTAAATCCCCGGCCGGGTAATGACTTTTTCAATAGACATTGAACTTTAACCCATAAGGAAGGCACAGCCATATCTCCAGTGGTAGGAGCTCAACATATCAGTGGTGCTGTGCCTCCCCTGCAGCAGGCAAGCTGGTCACGTAGGAATGTGCTCACTGGACCTCAGATGTCAAGTTCCACACCACGGAAGAGGGAGCTAGGTAGGGGACAAATCCTAGCTGTCCCATACAAGAACTAGGACCTTAGTCAAGTTGATTAACCTCTTTGTAGCAGTTTCCTTATCTGTAAAATAATTATAATAATATCTATTTCACAGGGCTATCTTGAGCACTTAATGAGTCAACATAGGTAAGATATCTATCACAACATACGCTTGGTACACAGGTGTTCAAAATTTTTAATTCTTTTCCTCTTTAGGTGGCAAATCAAAATGTTAAGCACAAAGAGAAATGTGGAGAAAATGGAGCGCTTCTAAAGGTTCAGATTTATTTATTGAACAAATGAGAAAAGCCATTTCAACAGACAGTAAGTTAAAGTAATAACAATATGATAATAATACTACTTTCTGGACATTTATGATCCTATTTGGCTAAGTAGAGGAACCCTTAGCTCTACTTCTCTCTTCAAAATAGAACTGTTTAGAAGATTTATTCTATAATTTAAAATATCCACCAACTAAGGCATGAAAATTAAAGTCCAGGTACCACAACAAAGTTTCTTCATATATTTCTAAACATTTTCAGAATCAAGTCATTCAAATGGTTCCAACTTATAATGACATCTTCCACTACAACAACTCAATATTCTGTACTATATTTAAAAAATATAGTGTTTTGTGTTTCACAAATAGTTTCTAGGATTGGGAATAGGGAGAAATAAGAGGAACCAAAGAGATTGTTTTGAAAAAGAACCTATAAAGTATTTGAGGGTGGAAGACTGGGTAACAAGATGAATAATCTATTTTTTATTCCAAATTAATTTTTAATTAGAATTAATCTTTGTGATGGATCTTGGTAGTCTCCTAATTCAGTCATCTTGCTGGATTAAATCACTAGATCAATTACCTTCTGATCTGGTGATTTTCATTACACAAATTCATCTTCTGTGAGAAAAATAAAGTTGATGGCTATATAAACTCAAAGTAAAAAGTACACAATTTTTTAAATTAAAGGAAGGAAGTCTGACATTCATTTCAGTGCCCTGACACAAGTTTTACTTAGGAAAAAAAAAAAGAGAACCACTATCCAAAAGAAATAGGTTTCATTATCACCGCTTCCATAGGTGGATGTGTGGTTTTCTGCTAGAAGCCAAAAGACAACAACAGAGTCCTAGGGAAAAAGACTTTTCCTCATCTTCAGAACTTCAACTCTCAAAAAATTTTTAAAACTATCAAAATTTTCTTTAACAGCCAGGTTATATGTGGACTCTGGGAATTCTGAAACTGTTCTAAGTTATGTGTTTCTTTGAATGAAGTCACTGTACTGCTTTATAAACAGTTTCACAACCAGTGACAAGCCAGGAGAAGCCAGGGCTCAAGCACTGCCACAAGAAGTCATTTTTAAGACACTTAGGGCGCTTACTCATTAGCTGTTACAGACTGATTTTTCCACAACAGCACGACCACTGTCTTGTGAATGAAAAATACCTGGAGGATGTCGTCTTAACATCTCTTCTCTGCTCTCTCTTCTGCTTTCTTATCTCACAGCCCACAGCCCACCCCAAGGATTAGAAATGGGAGTCTACCTTGTACTCCAGCGAGTTGAACACGTTCCTCATCTCGTTGATTTTTTCATGGAGCTGCTCTAGAGAGGTTATGATCCCTCTGTCCTGCCGCTGAAGGCGGGCTCCCACAGGAGGCAGGTTCAGGGAAGACTTGTACTTCAAAGCCTAGGGTACCACAGAGGGCAGCTTAGGCTTAAAGAAATGGGGGAGAGGAGTCCGAATTCTTCCTATTTCCTGCTCTTAAGTGCTGCTTCTCAATTTTCTTTTCTTTCTTGGCTTCTTAACTCTTCTTAAGATGAATTTTAATCAGTCTTCCGATTTTTTTTCCAACAAAGTCTTTCGGGCCTCAAACTAAATGCTTCATGAATTCCGACTTGTTTTTCACACAGACTTCCCATTCCTTTCTGCTATTTTACCCAAGTCAGGAGGATACTAGGAGGCAAATTCAAGGGTGCCTGTGCCTTGGGAACTCTGCAAAGCCAGGAATGTCAAGGTTTGGGAAACCTCCACAAGGTATGTCAAATTCCTGCAACACTTGATTCTATAAGAGCAAAAACACAGCTGTCTGGGAACAGCATGTGATAGAAGAATGCCGGGTGATTGCTTTGATTTTCCCCTAGGCCAGAGTTACTGCAGAAGAAACCTGTTTTTCTGCCACCTTCCATCTTCGAATTTTAGGTCCCTTTACTGATCCCCAGAAATTCAGTGATTTAAAGCACAAAGTGGGCTGCAAATAATTTGAATATCAAGAGTAAATTTTTTAACCCACTCCTGTGCACTCCCTGGAGAACCTGACCCTTAAAGTCATTCTTACAGGATCCTATTAAAACTGAGGTAAAGGTCCGCGGATTTAGCTCAGTGGTTTCACCGCCTGCTGCGCAAGCGAAAGGACCCGACTTAGATCCCCGGTACCAAAAAAAAACAAAAAAAACCCCCAAAAAACTGAGGTAAATCCTGGTGTGTTAAAAATTTAATTTATTGATTCTTGGATATGCCACAGGCCTTCTAACTTCTCTTAGTGTTAGAAGAACATTCCTCAGTGGCAAAAAGAACTGAGAGGCTCGACTAAGACTTAACAAATCGTAGAAAACCTTCAATGCCAGTTTCGATGATGATGAAACGTATTACTGTAGGATGGGTTCCCATAGTTTTTCAATTAGATGTCCTTTTGGCATATAACTTATTTCTTAAATTATTTCATTACATGAAAAAAATAAAGAAAAGTGAGAATCACTCCAAGTCTTGTTATTTCAGTATAACCATTAGCATTTACTTTTTCTTTTATTTTGTTATATGCATTTCAATGGAGATATTTAAATAGCTGAGATAATACCTCAGATATTTTGATTCTGCCCCTCATCTTTTTGTCCCTGCTGCCTTATAAACTCTCTTCCATAGCCTTCTAAATTTTTCTAAGTATCTGTTTTAAGGGGTATATAATATTCTATCATGTGGAATATGCTGCAGTTTATCTACCTATTCACGCATACTGAAAATTTGTAATTTTTCACAATTATAAATAATGCCATCATATCATGCTTTTTATGTAAACTTTGTATATATTTCCAATTATTCCTCAGAATAAATTCTGAAATATGAAATTACTATGAGTCAAAGATATTAGGTAATATTTAACCCAAAAGAAAATCTATATTGAAGGGAGCCAAAATATTCAATTAATTAATAATTTTACAAATATATTGACCAGAGGCCAGGCTGTGTATTCTTGGAAACATTCTGGATTGTACATAATGCTCTGAATTTGTAGTTTAGAAAAATGTGTCTTGAGCTGGGGATGTAGCTCAGTGAGAGAGTGCTTGCCTAGAAAAATGTGTCTTATCAAATTTAAGTAATAAAAATGGAGAAAAATGCAGTGCTTACATTGCTAAGGCTACAAATTAGCAAAAAATTTGTGTTCTTTGCCCTTTCTATACTTGGGTCTTGGAATTTTCCATTATTTATCACTAAATCTTTTAAATATTTGTTGGAAGTATCTTTCCAATTTTGGTATTTGCCTTAGAATTTGCTCAAAATATTTTTATGTTGAGAAATTGTACATTGTGATGTGGATGAACTCTCAGAGCTTTTTTGTTGTAATTTCTTGGTTTTTTATTTAGACATTTCATATAGAGACAAAATAAATACTTATTCTAAAATTTTTTGGGTTTTGTATTTAATCTTTTAACAAACTCTTTGGATCTCTTCTTTCTTCCCAAAGAATCAGTTTTCTGGTTCTATTTGGGATCATGCATTGAATGACTGACTGCTCAGATTTCTTGGCTCAAAGCAATATATACATCTTGCAGGTATTCATTTATTCAACTAGTATTTATCAAGTATGTATTATATTCCAAGCACTGTACTTTATGCCAAGAATACAACAAAGAGCAAAATAGACTAAGTTCCTGCTCTTAGAGCTTACATTCTAGATGAGGAAACAATTTTAAAAACCCAAAAAGCAAGTATTAACTTTTGTATATGACATCAGGTAGGAATAGGATCTATCAGGAAAATAAATATGGAAAGAATTGCAGAAATTTCACATATTATTTCAGATATTGTCCCTTCTAATATAGATTATATTCTCTTTTAATTGACTCCTTCCCTCTTCCCTCCTTCCTCCTCTTTCTCTTCTTCTTTACTTCTCTTCCTTCTTCTTTTGATTAAAGGAAGTTGTTGCTTGGAGCAAACAGACTTAGGAAGTGTTCTTTTAAAACAAGGATGGGTTAGCATAGCATCACTGAGGTCATATAGACCAACTTCGTTTTCACTGTATTGGGTATTCCACTGTGAACAGATGTACTTGGATTTGTGATACAGTAAGATAATGAGGCCATCCCCACTGCAGCTATATTTAGCCAACATCCAGGGAGTGACCTACATAAAGGCTATAATAGACTTTAACTCATACCTGAGTTTAAAGAGGTACTCATATTCATTCAAATGCCATACGCTGTTCAGGCATGAGCAGAGGGAAAGTAAGTAGAGAAAACATTTAGAGATCTTGGACCAGTGAAGTATTGAATCAATACTGAGTGAAGGCCCACTACTGCTTCCCAGCCTCTGTTCAAGATAGTCCTCCTGCCGGAAATGACCTTCCTCTTGTCCACTTGTCAAACGATCAGTTTGTCCTTAGTTTGCCTACTTCAAGTCCTCTAGTCAGTCCTAATTCATCTCTCCCCCATAGAACTGTATCAATGCTTTCATTATGATCTTTCCAACAGCCTACCTGTACAAACAATCTCATGTGTGTTCTCCAGTGGACACTTAAAAATCAATGAGAATATTTGCTTCATTTTTTTTAAAGCTCCCATTAGGCTTACCAATAGAGTTTGCACTTAGTAACTACTCAGTAAATACGAATTAACTTAAAATGAGGCTGTTTCCTCTGTGCCTCTCATTGCTGATCTAAGTCTAGGACCAACATGGTTCAAATGTTTTCATAATCCTGTACTGGCTTGCCCTAATAGGGCCCACAGCAATGAACTCTTGAACAGTATTTATGGGAACTAGTTGTTATTTTCACTTTACTGTCACTTAAGTTCAACTAATCTAAATAACATTTCCCCTAAACTATTTGCTCCTCTGGACACCTGTCTTTCTGCTTGGAAAGTTACTCTTTTCCCTAGTTACCAAAGCTTACAACCTTGGAGCCAGTTTAGGAAGAGCTTTTTCTCTCACCCCCCCACCAAGCTCTGCTATTTCTGTCTTCTTTCTCATGTGTTCCAGATAACACTATCTTTAAAAATGTGAAAGATTTATGCCATCTGAAAAGAAACTAGAACATACAGATAACACTATCTTAAGTCTAGAGAGGCACGTGGGTTTCCTAGCTCAAGATACTTTTATATTACAAATTATGTCAGACTAAACTTTCATGATATAAGGACAGAACTTTCCTTTAAATGTACAGTTGGAGTGCTCGCTTCAGCAGCATATATACTAAATGTATAGTTGGAAGGTAGAAGTCAAATAAATTCTTTTTCTTTTTTTGGCACTGGGGATCGAACTCAGGTCCTTGCACTTGCGCAGCAGGCGGTGAAACCACTGAGCTAAATCCCCGGCCCAAATAAATTCTATTAGCAAGGACAGAACAGCTTGATGTAATTCTTGTAGCAAAGATGTTCTACAGAACTTTCACCTTCCTTATAAATCAAATTATTCCTATTGTGTAAAATGAGCTTAAATTTATTATATCACCATATTTGAGCATTTGAAATAATAACCCCTTTTAAATTGTCAATTCTCCCTGCTAAAATGGGAAACTAAGAGAAACAGATCTTGCCCTCTCCTTTCTTATAGAAATGTTACTGCACAGCATGGTGGCTCCAGTGGCAGCAGGTAAGCGCAGCAGAGGTGAGGTAGGCTATTGGCACCGCACTTTACAAGCGGAGAAACTTGTCCTTCAATAACCTATGCTCTCAAGGATACAGTCTTGATGAGAAATGAATGTGAGGGTGTAAGAGGAAGCATATGAGAGTGCCAAAAACCTCTGTATGAAAAGAAGAGTCACCACAATTACACATGGGAGTATTCAAAAGTATCTAGCTGTCTTTACCTGGTAAATCTGTGTGGAGGGATTATTCACCGGCATATGTTCATTCTCTCCTGTAGGGAGAAAAAGCTTTGTTCAATCACGACAACTCATTTTGTTCCTTTCCTGTCTTCATAAGACACAGAGGGAAAAAGAGAACTTACAGGATCCTTTATCTCTGCCTGCATGACAAGAAACCAATGATTCAAGAACAAAAAATAGACTGGTGTAGGTAGCTTTTATATCTACTGTATATCCTAATGTCTAAATCATATCTACCTTGTAGTGGAAACCATGTAGTAGGATTAACTTTTTTTTTTGGTACCAGGATCAAACTCAGGACCTTGTGCTTGTGAGGCAAGTGGTGGAACCACTGAGCTAAATCCCCAGCCCTAGTAGGATTAACTCTTGCAGTAGAAAACCATGTTCTACCACAATGGGGAAACTTCCAAACAAAACTATGTGGTTAGTGGTCATTAAGTAGCCAGAAGAGAATGGCCAGGTGTTTCTCTCATGTTCTGGGCTAAGTGAAGTTTACCTGAAGGGACAGTTCTATAGTTAGCAAGGTTGCCCTTCCCCAGGTACCAGTCCAGTTGTCACTTACTGATCTCAGGAGGCCTGCATTAAATGTCCCTTGCTTCTCCTACTTTTCATCCTTTCCAAACTCCTGAACTCTGACCTGTCACTGCTGAGATCAGCTAAGGGAAAGTGGCTGTCCTCTTAGACAAGAGGCCTGATGGAGGGAATTTGATGGAAGGGATTAGAAATTCCCTCCAATGCAAAGGTTCTTGGAAGTGGGCAGAAATAAAGCTAGAGTCTGAAAAGCACAGGGCAAACACACCAGAAGGAGTACGTTGTAAAAATCATTTGCAGGGCCGAGGATTTAGCTCAGTGGTTTCACTGCCTGGTGCTCAAGGACCCGAGTTCAATCCCTGGTACCAAAAAAAAAAAATCATTTGCAACCTCAGAAGAAGAAAAGGATAAAGGTACCTTTCAGAACCACATTGATTGACCATGAAGATGAGGCCACCCACGTTCATTGCTCATCCGTCACTGTCTACCTGCTGATTGTGTCATATTGCATGAGCCCAGCCATTTATACATGAAATCCCTGTTTGCAAACATGCGGCTGCATAGATGTGGATACTGTTCTGTGACACACTAATACAGAAACCCCTCCTTAGAGGAAGCAGTCACAGTATGTTAAATTCATAAATATAAAACCTCAGCCCAGAACTTGTCCTCGCAGAGGGCTGTCCTATAAAATCCAGATCGTTTGAGATCACCGAAACTCCCCCCACAAGCTTGAGTAAGGATCATGTAGCCCATTTTATGCTATTTCCCAACACCCTGGTCTAACAGCAAGAACCAAGACTTGGGAACGCAGGCCAGGATCCCAGACCTAGTTTTAATACTTTGTCGTTGTAGCCTGACTTCTCTATGACTGTTTCTTCAAATGTAAATTGGACATGATACCAGAACCTGCTTCGATGTGATTGTTCCTATGTTAAAGGTGAAAAAAGAAAGCACTTAAGATTCTAGGATAGCCTAGAAGATGTTGGATGTCTGTTAGGTGAATTTGTATCTTTTTAAATTTTTTTTGGCAGTACTGGGAATTGAACCGAGGACCTTTACCCTTAGCGAAACCCCAGTTTATCTACTTATTCATTTATTAGTTTTTAGTTTAGTTTGGTTGGGTTGGGTCTTGCTAAGTCACTAAGTTGCCCAGGCTGGGCTCAACTTGCCATCCTTCTGTCTCAGCCTCCCAGAGTTCTAGAATTGCAGGCGTACATTACCACATTCACCTTCAATCTATATCTTGACCTTACTCCCAGTGTGTTGTTCTGCAGCAGTCCTAAAGTTACTGCTGGGAAAAATAAGAAATATATATAAATAAGAAATGTATATCCCCCTTCCCCGGCAAGTCTGACCTTGCTTTGTTTTGGTTTTTTCCATGGTGCCTGTTGCTTCTCTCCCACTTACTCTTCACCATTGCATCACTGCTGCCCTGGATCAGGCCACTTCCGCTTCCCTGCACCTGTTAATTGAAATCAAGAATAAATGATAGCAGGCAGAACTGGTAAAGAATTTCATCCAGCTTTATGTGTTAACTTTTTTTTCTTTTGAGATAGGGTCTATTTGGTTCAGGTGGACCTTCAACTCACTATGTAGCCCAGGCTGGCCACAAACTCACTGCGATCCTCCTGTCTCAGCCTCCAAGCTTGTGCCCCTATGCCTGGCTTTATGTGTTAACTTTATTTATTTATTTATTTGGTACTGGGGATTGAACTCGGGTCCTTGCACTTGTGAGGCAAGTGGCAAAACCACTGAGCTAAATCCCCGGCCCTATGTGTTAACTTTAAAGAACTGAACACAGATTAAGGTATATGCAGTTTCAGAAGAATAAGAAATATCAAATTGAGTAAATATTTACAGATAAATATCATTTTGGAAGTACAAAATTCATTACTTAAATTTATATTCTCTTTTGGGTCAAAATAATTAATTTAGGCCTAATGATTTTACTAGCAGGTTATAGTTTAGGGAAATTATCTTAAGAATAAAAACCCTAGGGCCGGGGATTTAGCTCAGTGGTTTCGCTGCCTGCTGTGCAAGCGCAAGGACCGGAGTTCGATCCCCAGTACCAAAAAAAAAAAAAAAGAATAAAAACCTTGAGCAAATATGAAAGCCAATACACTTGTTTCTATTTCATTAAACAATAGGTTTCCTGATGATCTTATCCCCATTTTCACCATCTGTAGGATTCCTTTGCACCCAGGAGATACTTATCAAATGTGACCTGGCTGTTGTCACCATCGGTCATGAACCTGCAAATCCAGAATGCAGTGTCGTGAACACACACAGACAACATGTACATGGAGCCTCCTTTTAGCCATCCAGCGTTGTAACACTTCCTGATGTTTGTGGAATTCCCCCACCTTATAGGCCTCCTGCTATAGAGGTTGCAAGTACCAGGTTTTCTGAGCCTTCCTTGCAACTAAGGCATGATGGACACATGACATAGGACATGCCGTTAGATGTACTTACCTACAGAATTTTGAAATTATCACACTAGAAGTAACTTCTGTCACTATTTGGAAAAAAATCTTAAAATATGAAGCCATATTTTATTGGATTTTATGGATAATTTATTCTTAAAGATTTAGTTATCTAATCTATAACAAATTGAAAACGACCAAAAATCCATAATAGCCTAGGCAAAATGAAAATTTACACATTTTCAGAGCTAGGATATCAGGTTCACATATGTACCCATGCCACTGACTTCAAGACATAATAGAAGGTATGTGACTGATAAAGTGTTAGAAATCTCATCTTATTTAGTTAATTACAAAAGCAAACAAAACTACATTGGAGAAAATTTGGAAACTATAGAGGGAGAATCGTGTATAATATCTCTGCTTAAACAACTGTCAGGAACTTTGGTTTGTATTGCCTGACAGTCTTTCTTCTCTGGAATGTTTTACATCATTGTTAAGAGAACCTACCTAAACATTTGTATCTACCTTGTCCACTTATGCTGTAGCATAAACATTTTGCTTTCTTTTAAAAATTGGATCATTATTATTTATGAAGAAGTTTTTGGTTGTTGTTGTTCTTTGAGACAGGGCCTCACTATGTTGCCCAGGCTGGCCTCAAATTCCCCATCCTCCTGCCTCAGGCTCCTGAGTAGCTGGGATTCCAGATTTGTACCACCACAACCCAACTGCATGCTGTTTTTATTATGTCCATTTGTTCAGAGGATACAGATGTTCTCCCCCAACCAATGTGAATCTCTGCTCTTCCTTCATTTTTTTCTACATCCTCATATAATAACACACAAACACATAGGCAGACTACACTACATGGTGTGAATGTCAAAGTGGGTTCTTACTACTCCTTCCTGCAGCTTACCTTTCTCAATACACCATGGCAATCATTCCAAGTTAATTGGTATAGATCTAATAAATAATTCCTAATGGCTGCATATTTCATAGTTTGAATTGTTAGTCTTCCTGTATTCCTTTTATTTCCATTATTTTGCCTGTCTTTTTATTCTCAATTAGTAAGAATTCCTATATAACAGATTAACTGTCATATGATATATGGTTCCCATCTATTTTTTTTCTTTTGACTGTGATCACTTCTGCTATTGAAACATTTTAAAATTTATTAAGTAAAAAAGATATGTTTCTTTAATTGCTGCTAGTTTTCTTGAATTGTTTTTAAAGCTCTCTACAGTCCAAACGTTATATGTATTTTTTTTCTAAATTTTCCTCCAAGATTTTTCTAATTTTTACAAGTATCTAATTCATCTGGAATTTGTTTCTTTATGGGACAAGGGAATGTTCAACTTTCTTATCTTCCTGATGGATAATCACTTATACTGGAACACATTTAAGTAAACTATCCTTTTTCTTCATAGAATTGAAATTTTAATTTCTGGCACATATTAAATCTTCTTACACACTGAAACATATTATGGGCTCTCTATTCTATTCTTATCTATTTACCTAGTCCTATTCCAAAGCTGCAGAGTCCACGTGTCCTTCTGTGTTTTAAAAATATTTGGTGGGCTGGGGATTTAGCTCAGTGGTTCCACTGCCCACCTCGCAAGTGCAAGGACCCGAGTTCGATCCCCAGTACCAAAAAAATAAAAAATAAAAAAATAAAAATATTTGGAGCCACGTACAGTGGTGCATGCCTGTAAGCATAGCCCTCTGGGAGGCCGAGGCAAGAGGATGACAAGTTCAAGCCTAGCCTGGGCAAGTTTGCAACTTAGCAAAACCCTGTCTCAAAAATAAAAAGTGGAAAGGGGCTGGGGATTAGCTCAGTATGAAGGCCCTGGGTTCAGTCCGTGGTATAAGAAAAAAAAAAAGGTGAGGCAAGCCAAGTATTTTTTTTTTCATAGTTTGCTTTTCCTAGCCAAGCACAGTGGTGAAGGACTATAATCACAACTACTTGGGAGTCTGAGGTGGGAGCATGTTAAATTTGAGGCCAGCCCAGGCAACATGATGAGGCCCTGCCTGAAAAACCAACAAAACAGGGTCAGGGATTTAGCTCAGTGGTGCTGCTGCTTGCCTCACAAGTGCAAGGTCCTGAGTTCGATCTCCGGTACCAAAAAAAAAAAAGCCAGCAAAACAAACAAATAAAAACTTCAGTCTCCAGATAATTTGCTTTTCTTGACATCGACTTTTCTTTTCTTTTTTTTTTTTTTTGGGTACTGGAGATCGAACTTGGGACCTTGTGCTCTTGAGGCAGGGGCCAGAACCACTGAGCTAAATCCCCAGGCCTGACATCTACTTTTCAATACAAACAAATGAACTATTTTATATTTTACCTCTTACCAAAAAAATGGAATTCTCACTGGAATTGCATTAGATTTATAGATTAATTAGAGAAACTGACATTTTTCTCATATCAAATCTTATCCTGCAAGAGCAATTTCTGTTTGCCTGGATCTTTTCTTAAGTCTTTTGATCACATTTTGTAATTTGTAATTTTCTTCTTTAGGTTCCTGTGTTTTAAAATGAAATTTATTAGCTATTTTAAAGATTTTATTGTTATTACGAATTTTCCCCATTTCCCTTTCTATTTTTTTTTGTAGTCTCTATTACTTGTGTATTTATTTTGTGTTCATCCACCATACTACATTCCTCTACTAATTGTGGAAATTTTAGATGAATATTTCCTTATTTTCTAGGTTACTTGTATCACGAAAGCAGGGAACTGGAGGACTGAACCAGAGCTTCAACTTGCTAGGCAACTGTGCTTGCTACTGCTGAGCCACCCTCTTACTCTCTGTCTTTGTCCTACCTTACTGCGTTTGCTGGAGCTTTCCTTTTTCCTAATAATGGCAATAGTGAACATCATTATCCATTTCCTGATTTTAATGTAAATGGCTCTAGAGTATTTAGAATATTCACTGTCCTTAATAAGTAACCTATATTACTTAATTTAAATTTATAGTTCTAGGGCCAGGGATTTAGCTCAGTGGTTCTGCCACCTGCCTTGCAAGCAGAAGGACCCAAGTTCATTTCCCGGTACCAAAAGAAAACTTACAGTTCTATTTTACTAAAACTTCTTATTAGGAATGAAAACTTGATTTTATCAGACCTTGCAATTGATTAGACCTTGCAATTGATAGACTTATTTTCCTCTCCTTTATTTAATGAATTATGCTGTTTCCCTGATTCAACAAGCCTAGAATGTATGCTTGTTTATAGGATATAGTTCATTTGACATACAACTGGATTCTATTCGTTGATATTTAAACTTTTTGCATCTATCTTCATAACTGATTTTGTATTATGAGAGGATATTCCTTAATCATACTTGAATTTGTCTTTCAGGTTATGCTAGCCTTAATGAATTAGAGAGTTACTCATCTTTTCTATAATCAAAAAAAGTTTCATTATATAAGAATTATTTTTCCTTTAAATAATTATATCACATCAGTATGAAACCATTTGGTCCTGGTGCCTTTAGAGCTTTTTCAATTTCTTCAAAAGTCTACTCAATTTTTCTACTAAATTTAGTCATTTATATTTTCCTAGGAAATCACGTATTTCCTCAAGTTTGTCAAATCTGTTGACCGAGAATAAGCATTTTTCCATGCACTGTATAAGGAATAGTGAAGAAGGAATTAACAGTTGAACCACTGCCAAAGATTATGGTTCATATTTCATTTATATTGTCACATTTAATTGAATCCTCACATTGATTTTACTTAGCATATATCAATATTTCCATTTTTATAGATGAGAATTTTGGGACTTGGAAAATGAAGTAATAAAATGTCCAGGATCATAGAGTAAGAAATTGCAGAGGAAGCCAGAATTTTAATTCTGGTCTGTGGGATTTGGGGACTTTTATTATGCTTGACGTTCTCCAGATAGTTTCACAATCCTTATATTTAATTTTTTTGTTGTTGTTGTTACCGGGGATCAAACTCGGGACCTTGCGCTTGTGAGGCAGCATTATATTTAATTATTGAAAAATAGGTGCTTGAGGATATATGTCATTGTTTTCTTTCCC